TCCTAGAATTTGAATCGTAAAGTTTGATAATTGCATGGTTTGTCCAATATATCGGCACCGGCAACCCCCCATCTACACCGAGTCGAACTTGTCGTTGAGCAGAACAATATACACCACCGCAAAGCGCAACGTTTAGCCCAGCCTGTCGGCACGATGCCGTCTGCACCCTTCCCAGACCGAGGCACCGCGCCTCTAGAGCCGATTATTTCGATGTTAGCGACGTACCTCGACCACACATCACCTTCCTCCTCCCCCTCCACTCCCTCGCCGTTCTCCTCAGATACCGGCGAGGCGGACGACCTCAACAACAACAGCGCCCTGTCGCAAGCCGTTGCCGCAGCGTACGCTAAAATCCCAATATTCATGTCCCGCTTCGCCATCCACGATGCGCCCTCGTTCCTACGCTTCGCGAACGGTTTGTTAACCTGGGTTCCGAGCGAGGGGTGTGAGGGAAGGGATATCTATGATGTGCTGTGTATGTTTTATTTTGTGCTGGGTCAGGAGCCGTTGGGCTCGTTGCAGGCTCGGATCATACCTCGCGGGTATAAGGAGGGAGAATGGGAGGGACTAGTGAGTGGACGGGGAACGGGGGACTTCAGGAAAGAGAGATATATGAGCTGGTTGTCGGATTGGATGGTCGTTTATGCGCAGATGGTTGGATCCTGGATGGATTCGGGGGAGTCTATTACGAAGGAGAGTCTGGAGACATTTAGTAGGTGTGAGAGGTATAATCTACACGAGGCTGTTGTTCCTGAGGGCGGGTTTAGGACATTTAATGAGTTTTTTGGGAGGAGGTTGAGGGAGGGGGCGAGGCCTGTTGAAGGGGTTGGGGATGAGAGGGTTGTGGTGTATCCTGCTGATTGTAGTCTTGCTGGGGACGAGGGTGATGATGAAGAGGGCGGTGGTGGGATTGTGAGGGTTGAGAAGGGGGGTGTTGTGAGGTTTAAGGGGTTGCCGTGGACTATTGGGGAGTTGTTGGGTGATTATGGTGGGGGAGAGGAGTTTGAGGGAGGGATATGGATGCATGCTTTTTTGAATACGTATAATTATCACCATGTCCATGCTCCTGTCTCGGGGAGGGTTGTTGAGGCGAGGAAGGTTAGGGGGTTGGCTTGCTTTGAGGTTCTTGTCGATGAGGAGAAGGGGGCAATGTGCCGTCGAGTTGAGGATGTCTCACGGCGAAAGGAGGAGAGGAATTTGACGGCGCCCAACTCGCCGGGGTACCAATTCCTCCAGACCAGAGGCGTTCTTATCATTGAGAATCCTCTCTTGGGGAAGGTCGCGGTGTTGCCGGTGGGCATGGCCATGGTTTCGTCTGTGAGGCTGAGTGTCAAGGCTGGCGATATGGTGGAGAAAGGGGATGAGATTGCGGGTTTTGCGTTTGGGGGGAGTGATGTTGTTTGTGTCTTCGAGGGGAGGGCTGGATTGAGGGTTGAGGATTTTGTGAGGAGTCCGAGGGGGGAGGGGGAGTGGTCTAGGTATGGGAGTGTTTTGGCGAGGGTTCCTTGAGGTTGTTTGTGAGGTTTGCGGCGAGGGGTAGTTGTTAGAATATTGACGGCAGAAAAGGAAGGGGATTGGGAAGGTCACCTATTTACACCCAACGGAGGAATCGTGGCAGTCGAGTCAAGTGTACCTTACCCAGAGATAGAGGGCCCAGTAGTTGGCAATATGTTCTTGTGAAACTTGAACTGCTTGAAATCTCCCAGTCTGGTCCATTTACTGCTAGCAACGTAATGACTGAAACCAACAAACCAAGCTACGAGTATCAAAGGAGCTAGTATGATCCCCTTGGCAGCTATCCAAATGCCCAAAAAAGGAGTCGAGACATCCCAGACCGCAAGAATCCAAAGAGGAGTCGAGAGAATCGCAAAGAGAAGCTTTGAGGTTCGTTCATCGTCGACATAAGTGCCGAGCAGTATTCCAACAAAGGTGTTTACAAGCTGAGATGGAATGCTGTGAATCAGACTCCCCACGAGAGAAACCGGACTCCCCGCATCCAACAGTGATTGGAACGGCAGCAATACCACACCCGAGCCTAGGATCTGCATCCAAACTGACCACAGTATCAACGTCACCCATCGGGACTGAGAAGCGTAGGCATGCAACGAGGCTCTCAAATCTATAGGTTCTCCTCCCAGGACGATGTTCTGATTGAGACGGGAAAGAAGCTTTCCGTTGGCGTCACATGATCTCGTTGACTGCGAAGAGTGGGCCATTGCCGCTTCGGTTCTCGAAGCTTCTCCACCTGGTGGAACCAGTCGGATTCCTTCCCAAGTTATCGTCTCGATCCTCTGTGGGTAGAGTGCCGAGGACTGTAGTGCCTCTCTGATCACCACGTCGGGGACTATGGCTTCAAGTTCTTGAAGGAAAGAGTTAGTAAGGTAAAGGAAATCGGGGCAGGATCTCTGAGTGATGGTGAGTTCTACAACGAATTAAGATCTGGCCCATTGCCCTATTTCTTGTCGAAGGGTTAATTAAATAATCTTGCCAAGCTTTTCGACTGTTCCATATCTTCCTTTGATGCCGGAGCCAGCTTCCGGGTCATCGTAGCTGATAAGAGTGACACCAGAACCGCCAGGACCGGCCCCAGAAGAAGGAAAACCGGCAAGACTTGGCCAAAGCCCCAAGCGTTTTCGTAATCGCCCATATTACCCGATTCTCGCGCACGCAAGAGTCGTATCGTGCCCCATGTTGAAGACATGATGAGCCAGATGATCCAATAAGATTTAGTATAACTTGCGTCTAGATCGTCAGATATTGACTGACGACTGAGGAGAGGGATATTAGTACTCACATCAGCTTATTCTGACGATATGACGTCTGAGTAGATCTTCGCGACTAGGTAGGCTGAAATTCCCAGATCTAGTGGCCGCAAAATTTTCAAGATTATCCTCCGTAATGGAGTGGTTCCAAATTTCTCGCAGCCTGTAGTGATGACTTGAAGAAAAGATATGGCCCAGTAGCCAAGCTTTTGTCTGACAGTGTGTCTCGCAGCTTCTGTTGTTACACGGAACATCTTGAGAGTACGAGTGACGAAGCCAAGGATCAAGATAATCAGGGATAAGATCAAAATCCGATGTGATGTGGTGGAGGTGATTGAGAGGCCTGTTGCAAAGTCGCTCGGAAAGTCAGGTGTCACGGATACGGTATTGCACAAGTACCCATCAGCAGCGGGTTGCCTTAGGTGATCGTATAGACCAACCGGACCTTCACAGGCCCTCCGATCCCAGAGTTCTTGAGCTGTTCCCCGTTTGAACAAACATCGAACATTCGAGGAAAGAATACTTGCTGTTCCCTCAAAATAGTAGTATTCATTTGACCATTTCCAGTTGAAATAGCTCGTTGGCACCAAGGCGGTGATCTTCCAGCCAAGAAGATGGCCATGAAAAGTAGTCTGCAGTTACGTTCTGCAGGGTGCTCGTAGAGGTATGTCCGAAGAGCTGGTAAACAGGCCGCGTGGGTAGTTGCTGAAAACCAAGCCAGATAGCAAATTATCTGCCAGTGATATGCTGACACGTAGCAACTTTGGCTGACGAAACTGCTGAACAATATGCCGAGGCCGGTAAGAAGTTGTACGTCACACAAATTCAGTAGAACCTGCATGTGAAATGATTAGTCTCGGGCTCAAGTCATGGTTATGAGATATTCGCGATAGATCGAGCAGCCGACTGGCTAAAGACTGCCTACCTAGATAGAACAGAGAAAGACGCGTACCTTAGTCATGGCTAAGTTCCAACCGGTGTGGTGACAAAATCGTCGGCGAATGCCTAAAAACATGTTGGTAGCCTGGACGTCAACAATGTTGGGTTTCCAGTTATGAGTTCGATTCTGCTTTCGCACGTGATTTTGTTGTCGAGCCTCAAAGGGATCAATATGAGGGTTGAAGGTGAAGCAATATCGTATGCATATCAGGAACACCACTAGCCATGCTGTCCCAAGAAACCCAATCATCACCTAATATTCGGTGTAAATTAGTTGATCAGCTTGAATGATCTCCATAAGTTCAGTCGGGGCATCATGGCAACTTGATCTCGCGCTCACGTACCCCCACTCCGCCAACATCAGGGTTTGGCTCTAGTTGCCCCGGCACATCTAAGCAGCTTCGATCGCAGATTGATACTGAGACTTCATTCCTCTGGTAGGTAGGGCGAGGGAAAGAAATGGCCATCGGATTATGGCGGTATTGCTGGCGCTGAAGGTAGAAACGATGTAGAGAAATCTCTGTCCGAATCACATGACGGTGACGAGTCGTTGAAGAAGAATGAGGGGAAACGAGAGTAATGAGTCAATGTGGCATTCTATATATCCAACGTCATAAGCAATAGGAAATGCAGTTTGCCACGTACCGTCTACTCCTGCTGTGAACTACTGTAACTCAAGGCTCACTACTTGCGGTCTCTCACAGCGTCCCACAAAAGGCAGACAGAGATAGCCGAACGTTCACATGGTTGGACTTGTTTCACAATTCTTGCGTTGGCGTCAGCCTCCGCGCTCCCGTGCCCGGTGTAATGTGACACTCCCGTATCACATCGACTGCTAGATTGCGTTGATCTATTTGCTCAACAATAATGAGGGGTAATCGCGTGTTATACATTGAACCGACCGAGTTTCCTCCATCTTCACCTTTCAATTCGAAATGAACCAGGACCAGAGAAAGACTGGAGCCATATGGGCTGACGCCATCAAGCAATGCACAAGATATCATTGCTAAGGTTCTTCATACAACACTTAGGTCTGAATACGCACGGTGATTTAAAAGCAGTCGAAATTACTATCGTGAAACTAAGTCGGGAAATGGACTAAATTAATTGAACTGTATTTCGCGAATGGTATCTAAGAATCGAATGATGACGAGCCAAACGAAATCCCAAGTGGGAACTTCATGACACCACCTCCACCCAAGACGCGAGGCCATCACTCGCTACTCCCGTCTTAATCTTTTCCAGCCATGGCAACCTCAAGCCAGGAGCACCGCTCCCGACTTTCTCACAATCAAGCATTTAGCACTTGGCGCCGGAGCCAGAAGGAATGCCAGAGCACTCGGAAGAGGACTTGCCACCGGTAACGGAGACACCAGACCACTTCCAGTTGGAGCAGGCACCCTTAGCGCAAAGGATGTACACGTTGGTGCCCTTGGCGGCGACGGTACCCTTGACGTTCTTAACGGTGACATCGGTGATGGGGATACCGGCGGTAGGCTTGCCGGTAGGGCTGCCGTTCTCGTAATCCTGCTGGATGACAATGCCCTTCTTGTTGATGTTCTTGAGAGTGATGTTCTCGAAGGTGATGCCGTTGACCTTGCCAGTCTTGTTGGCAATGGTCTTGATGCGGATACCGTTGTCGGCCTTCTCGATGGTGGAGTCACGGATGATGACGTTCTGGACGGTGTTGTCGGTACGTCCACCAACGGAGCCGATGGACAGGCCGTGGGAGCCGTAGCAGTATCCGTTCTCGAAAGTGATACCAGTGCCAGAGTTGATAGCCAGGCAGTCGTCCTGGTTGTAAACCTTGGCGCCGGAGATGGTCACGTCAGAAGACGAACCGACATCGAAGGCATCGGTGTTGTGACCACCCTTGGAGTCACCATCCTTGTTGTCGAAAAGGATGTTGGAGCTAGAGAATAGTCCGGTCAGCATCATTATCAAAAACCCGATATTGAGATATGACTTACACCTTGAGGCCGGAAACGCCGCTGATGGAGAATCCGTGGGCAGGGGTGTTCTTGACGTTCAGGCCAGAGATGGAACCGTCGTTGATCTTGACCTTGAAGAACTTGGGCTTCTTCTTGCCACCGTTGCCTCCCTTGCCGTCCCACCAGCGCTCACCCTGGCAGGAGATAGAGTTGCCGGAAGCACCGACAACGCTGACCTTCTTACCGCCGATGGCGATGAGGGGGCCCTCCCACTCCTTGTAGCCGAAGGTAGTGGTGCCCTTGAAGGTGACCTTAGTTCCGTCCTTGAGGCCGGTGAGGTCGAGCGTCTCGCCGGCGGGGACCTTGATGCCGTTGAGGACGATGTCGGTGCAGGAGGCCTTCTTGGACATGGCCGTCTTGGCGTCGGTGAAGGTGCACGAGGCACGGGTGTCGAGCTCGGCGGGGGCGGCGGCAGCCAGGGCGCTGAGGCCCGCGACAACGGAGAGGAACTTCATGGTTCCTTGATTTGTTTTGGTATGTGATCAACACGTGGGATACTTCGAGTATGTACAGAAAATGTCGAATGAGAGACTAGAGTCGGTAAAAAAAAAGAATGTGGTTGAAAAGAGTGTGAATGAAGAAGCACGATGGGGTATCGAGAACAGAAGCAAAAGAGGTGGGCAGAAAAGACGATACTTATATCAAGTTGTCGAACATGCAAGACAGTAAACCTCCTCTTCCCCTTTGATTTAGATGTTGCTTGTTGGAAGCTCGTTGGATTTCCGCAACTGGGTACGGTGCGGCTCCCACGCCGGATAGTCGGCATCACCGTTGTCTATCTCCCCGGTCTCTGGAAGGAGCTAAGAGGAGCCCATGATTTCAAAACCACCTTTAATCTGACTTTGCAGCGCCGGAGTGTTGCCCCGAAGGACCGAAAAGAGGAGGCGACTCTCCACACTGGCTTAACTCATCTAAGCTTCAAATGCTGCGAGCCCGCGGCACGAAGCTAGCACGTGGGGAGCAGAATATTAGGAGAGCTGGTCGCCCACTATCCGATGACCCAGGTCTGACGATGGGATCATACCCGGTCGTTGTGGACTTGGGACGAACAGGGCTGACGGGAACCTACGCCCCAAGTCGGTGTCAGCCGCCCTACCAGCGGAATACTGAGACATGATCACAGATCCTCTTCCAAGACTTCCAGACCGTCTGATCGAGTCGATTTTACCACTTCTGACGCGTGGCGGCAATGAAGAAACTGTCTCTTCAGGTAGGATTTCAATCTCAGTGGCATCTTGGCTTCATCTTGGCATAGGCTTGATTTGCCGATCGATCCGATCATGGATTTCTTGGGATCCAGGAAGCCCCAGAAAATCACGGTATTTTACCCACCAGTGGCTGCGGCTGACCCAGCACTTCCCTGTGTGCCTGTGTGAATTTGTTTGAAAGGGGAAGTTCCCACAGAAAAGAAATGTCAAGAACGGAGGTGAGGTAAGGATTCTGCAGGAATGTGATAAGGCGTTGTGCATCTTCCAACTTGCTCCAACATGGCACGTTTCTTCTCAGCCAACGACAATGGTTGTTGCAGGAACAGTTTCTGTTGAAAATGTATTCCTGCCTCTTATGACCTGAGGCTCATCCCGCGGACGTCTCGTTAAGAATTTGATGACGAACGAGCACCGGAGAGCCCGCGCTTTACCTAGAGTGGTGTGATTAACCTTAAAGCCCTAATTGCAATCCAAGCATCCGACGACCGACGAGCCGCCTGCCTTGTGGGGACAGAGCCTCTCCTTTCGGCGGATACGGACTTGCGCGTATACTTACCCTGTCAGCCGACGGGAAGCTATAAGGGGCGAGCAGGCCTCCTATTCTCGGCCCCGAGTTGGATCACTTGAAGACGGGCAAGTTATCAGTGACAGGTTTAGACGAATGAACTTGGGTGAACTTCGGGCTTGATCCGACGGTGGACATTTCCGTCATCTACCTGGACCAGGGGGCCCCCTTGGGTCCTTTTTTTAATCGGGTTCCGAACTTTGCGACTCACCTGCTTTTAGCGTCGGATTCTGCTGATTCATAGTGGGCTAATGGATTGGATCTAACCGACTCGAGTAGTTTTTGCCAACTCACGGTGCAATTTCGAACGGCAGCGAAAACCGACTTGGTAGTGGTTCATGCAGCATCATTCAAGCTTACACACTTTAGCCACCGCATTCTGGCCATGGAGATTCAACATACATGAAACTGCCGGTCCTTAAAACACTTTATTTCTGTCTCCGCATTACGCTAGAAGGAAAAAGAAAATACGAAGTCTTGTTCGGTAAATGGTGGTGGACTTGGTCTTTTGTGAGCTGTCTCTTTTCTGCTCGGCCAGTTGCGGATGTCCCGCTACAAATGACTCCGGAGTTCGTCTTCGGTCCATTTCCACAACTCCTCCCTCTTGTCCTTGTTCTTGCTCAGTCTCGTACCTTTACCGGTGACACCAACTGGGAAGTAGAAGGTGCCGCTCTTGACGTCTGGGCTGAAGGATGCCCAGAGCTGGTTGAGCGCACCCTTCTGGGGACTGACGGCTACGATCTTAGTGCCGAGGTACACAATCGTGCCCAAGACGAAGTTGGACTTGTTGATAATGGATTGTGCCAGATTTGTGTCGACGATACCCGGGTGTACACTGACGATTTTGAGCTCCGGATGTCGCTCCGCGAGGGCAGCGGCGTAGTGGATGTTAGCCACCTTTGAGATGCCGTAACGATAACGACTGGGAGTCTCGGGCATCTGTGTCTTGAGCTTGTCGAACTGGTAAATATCTTTGGGCGCCCAGCCTTCCGCCCCCGAGGAGAGGAACACGACCCTCACGTCGGGGTTCTCGGTCGCCGTCTTCTTCAAGGTAGGCATCAGGAGTTGAGTAAAAAGTGCATGACCCATGTGGTTCGTGCCAAACTGGATCTCGTAACCCTCTTTTGTAAGGCCCTCGGGCGTCGCCATGATCCCAGCATTGTTGACGAGCAGATCCAGCCGAGAAGAGGACTCATTGAATTGTTTGGCAGCCGCTTTAATGCTTTCAAACGAGGATAACTCAAGCGGCAAATGAGAAATCGGCGCGACGCTAGAGCCTTCTTTCCTTAGTGCTTCGATTGCGGCCTCTCCCTTTTCCTTTGAACGTCCGGCAAGATAGATATGCCTGGGATTGTGCTTTGCAATCTGTCGGATCGTCTCCAGTCCGAGGCCGGCATTTCCACCGGTGACGAGAACGACCTTCCCTGTCAAGTCTGGGATATCAGAGTCCGGCTTGAAGTTGTAGCCGCCCATCAAGAATGCTGTCGCCATCTTTGAGTCTGGTTACTTTTATGCCTACGCCGTTTGATGTATGAGTCTGTCTATTTGTTGATCGTGATGGCACAAGCGAAGAAGAGCTCCGCGACGCGAAAAGGCGTAGCTTCTTATATAGTATGCTTTAAGTTTCACGTTTCAAACTTGGCGTCCGACCGTCCCGGGCTCGACACTGGCTCACCGACGATATTGGTCGCAAGGTGGTATTGGTGGTTTCAGGGTCCAGGGTCCCCCGCTTTGACCGATAGTTCCAGAGGTCATTAATGTTTGGGCGATTATAGTCCGATAGGTCTTATAGACGCCATCTATGGATCTACCGAGGTGTGGCGGCTTGTAGTCATATTAGAGAGACTGAAAGTCGTAGGCAGGATTATTCAACTACATTGTGGGAGCACAGCAAGCCGGGCTCAGGACCGTCGGTGCAATCTTGACTCCCGAGCCTGGCAGTCGCCACGATGTTACCTCAAGCGGGCAGACGATTGGACCCTACACCCGATGATGGCATTGCCCCAATTCACATGTTGCGTTTTGATGATAGACTGCTTCGGAGAAATGGGTCTTAGGGGGCTCCGGCTCCCACGCAACCAGCTTGCGGGGCAGCTCTTGGCACGACCCATGGGCAAAGGAGAATTTTGAAGAGCACCTCATAATATGACAGTAGTAGTACGAATAGTGAGAAAGCCTCGATCATACGACTTTAAGAGCTAGAACTATCAGCATCATCGACATCCCTCTGGCTTCTGAGCTGTCTAATTCCGGTGTACCGCCAGTTTGAGATGTAAGTCTCAAAAGCCTGCTCTCCATGCTTCCCGTTAGATGTTGCGTAAACGCCAATCACGGAACCTGGGATTATCTTTATCAACACAGGTTCCAATCATTTTCATAGAAGGTGAACTTACCAGAGTAGTAAGGAACCAACTCGGTGCCCTTGCAATATCCGAATACTCTGAGACTGGAGTCTAGACCAGCAAGGCCGGCAGAGAACGCGAAATGAGTGCTGTTGACAGCCTCAATTTGGAGCGCAATCTTCTGCCCAGCCCAACCATCAGGGAGTGGGTAAAGCTCATTCGGCGGATGTTCAGTCGCCCTGTACGGTGTTTCCGAAATACCACGGTACCTGAGGTGCGGTCGAAGATCCTCACTTGCCTTCGGCTTCAACATGACGATACCGAGATCGAAGTGCTGGGCTTGATCTTGGATGATCGAGATGCCGACTTCCATCTCTTCTTTCGTCAATGATTTTGCCCAGTCGACATCAACGCGGAAGTTGAAGAGTGAATGAGCCATCCGTCGTCCGACGAAAGTCTGGCCACGACCCAAGGCAAAGTCAGCGTCGAAAGCTGTGAGATTGAGAACTGAAGACTTCAGTGCTAGTGTATTCCAGTGACCTGGTGGCGAGACCACGTAGTTTCTAGTCTTTGGTAGACGCCAGTGGATGAAGTGAATAGGCAAACGACTTCCCGGCGGAAAGCTGATAACATCGTCTGCGTTGCTGAGTTGACCTTCTCCCTCTTCCGGAATAGCTTCCGCGGGTAGCGGCCATCCAGAGACGTCACCGGTGACCGGCGTAAACACTGGGAATTGATCCTTTTCCCAGGTGACGGGAGTAAGCACCGTCTCTCTGCCCATCGGCAGGTTGCCAAAGTATGCCCCGGGATCCTGTCCATATGTGCCGCCAGCCCGAACTGCTAGGGCGACAGACCACCAATTCCCATCAGCATCCTGGAACAGATCTGCGTGGCCGACAGCTTGAAAGTAGGAGCCAGTATCGTTTGCAGAAGTCAACAGTGGATTGGCCGGTGCTGGATCATACGGTCCCTCCAAACTTTTCGATCGAGCCATTGTGGCCATGTGGTTCTCACGGGTGCCGCCTTCAGCGAGAAGTAGATAGTACCACCCATCACGCTTCCAGATGTGAGGTGCTTCTGGAGACCGCCCACCGGTACCGTTCCAAGGCATTATAATGTCTCCAATCTCGCCTGTCTCCAGGTTGAGCGGCGCATGCATTATTCCCGGATAGTAGGCCGCCGTGTGCGCACCCGAGACGTATGTCTTGCCGTCATCGTCCCAAAACGGCGACGGGTCGAAGCCGGGGAAGCTGAAGTGAACGGGGTCTGACCAGGAATCCGAGCTATATGGGTCTGTCGATGTGATGATGAAGTTGTCCCACCGGCTGTCATTGGTCCTCGGGAGTTGCTGATTTACAAGAGTGCACAGCAGGTAAAACGTGCCCTCATGGAAGCGTAAAGTGGGTGCGTAGATGCCGCTGGTTGCTTTTGGCAGAAAAGCTAGACCTGGCAGCTGGTCCGCTCGACTGAATGCGTTGGAAACATGTTTCCAGTGTACCAGGTCTCGGCTTGCGTGGATGGGCAGGCCAGGGAAAACGAGGAAACTGGATGTGGCACAGAAAAAGGTATTATTCAAGTGTGGAACAAAGATGCAGCTGGGGTCCGGGTTGAAGCCGCTGATGATGGGGTTTTGGAAGGTTGAGTTCTGAGCTCGGCTAACTCCGAAGAGGGCTACTGCTAGAGCTAGAAGTCTGGACTTCATGGTGGGAATGTTGATAAGCTATCGGGCTCTTTGAACAGTAGTTCCAAGCTGGTTTCCATGTTATAACAACTTCAGAGGCCCGTAACTCTGGCCAACCCCGCAGGGCTCATGGAAAACCGCATCGCTTTGGAGTCTATTTCCACACCAGGGAAGACATCCTAACAGCAGTTGGAAGGCGTTCACAAGATCGCGGGCAACGGTGCGGCGCTTTTCCGAAAGACCGGCGTCGGGGGAACCTCTACTCGGAGAATTGTGGTATTAGCCTAAAATCCCGAAGGACCGATCTTATCCTGTTGAGTTCCAAGCCAACTGCGGGGGAGATGCAGGATCACAAGGCCAAGACCGGGGGAGTTGGCGCCAGGATGCATATCCGTCGTCTCCTTTGCTCTCAGTGGAAGCGATGATTCACTTGGTTTGCAAAAGCACTTGCATATCCGATGCATTTTTCAATCAGCATGAGTTGCACCGAAAACCTTACCAACGCTATCACTCGTTCGCGTCTGATAACCTATTCACCCTTTCTACGTGATCTTGCAATTGACAGTTCCTCTCCTGCCTCCTGACTACAGCGTCAAATAGCCAAGCTGCAAAGCTATCGTGAAAGCCTCTTTTTAGGCCTCCACTGCTTCGCGGCACTGCTTCAGACCTTTGCGCTGTTTGCCATTCTCATCAAAGTTTTCCTCGCTCAACCAAGCTTCCAGGCCGCCCTTGATTACCGGCCACTCATCATCTGTGATGCTGAACCACGCTGTGTCTCTACGTCTCCCCTTGGCAACCACGTGCTTTCTGCCGGTTGTTAGTTCCTGACTGAGAGTGATTTTCATACATATCTTACCTGAAAATCCCTTCATATGTATACCCTAGCCGCGCAGCAGCTGCGAGACTCGGCTTATTCAAATGATTGGCTTTCCATTCGAGTCTGTAGTTGCCCAGGCCTTCGAAAGCATTCTTCATAAGAAGGTACTGAGCCTCAGTGGCGGCACGCGTCTGCTTCAGTTGCTCGCTGAAGATGATGCACCCAATCTCAATTCGTCTATGAGCTGGAACAATGGAAAGGTATGCCATCACACCCACTGGCTCGGATGATGGATCCGATTCCGGACCGGAGAATACAGTGAAGTACAACGGGTCTTTGGAGACGCTCCACTCCTTGAATGCTGCCTCGCATTCTTCGAGCTCGAGAAAAGGCTCATTGAAAAGGTATGTCCAGCGCCAAGCGTTTTCTTCCCGGCCGAGGTGCTTGAAGATAGCTTGCGCATGCGATGGTTGCAGCGGGACCAGGGAGGTGTATTGGCCGTGGAGCGGGGTATGGGACGGGGCCGTTGCCGGATCGGCGGAGGCTACGAGAGGTCCAACAGGAGGGTCCATGGTTTTGGCAGGTCTTGGTTGTGACTAATTATTCTACCAAGTTTTGGTCAAATTTGCAACGTTTTCGATGTTCAGATTAAGATATAAAGTATACGTATGAGCTCTGGACGATGACTCAGGAAGTCACGGATGGAGATCCTTCAAAGCACGACAACTTCGGCGCGAAGTGGGGCGACCGGCCCGGTCACAGGGAAGACACGCCAAATACGCCAGATACGCGCAACTTCAACGCAGGATTACTGATCTCGGTGATACTAAGACCAGTAAACTGACGAAGCCTGACTGCGAAACGGTACGTTTTCCTCAATTTGACAAGTACAGCGTTGTTGGGCATCACAATATCATGTACGGCTTTGATTAGTTGAGAAAGTGCAACTCAGCAACTGAAATAACTCCATCAAGGTGGCAGACACGACTCGACAGTTAATCAATGAAACTACGGCAATATCTAGAAGTGTCTGTCTGGCGGCTGTCTACTTTGATGATTGTTTTGAGATACACATTTGTTGAAAACCCCAGATGTCGCATCAACTTCAGCCGTAATATTCGCAAAGATGCTTGGTTTAGGGGCTCTGATTACTACACCCTCCTCCTTCATGTGGAGAGTTACTGCTCAGCGTACAAGACATCGACATTAGCTTAGATGATAAACGATCACGTAAATGTCGATGGTTGTTTCGGGCAGCCAGAGATATTACATACACCAGTAACGCTCCGGGACTCCAATGGACCAAGTTATTCGTGCCAGCCGTAGGCGATTTTGTCAAGTCCTGCATCTCTTCGTACGCCAATTGTATCTATACAGCTCCACTAACTTCCACAAATGTTGACCAAAGTTCCACTAAGCTGATTGGATATTACAAGTGCGTTCCCATATTTGGCGAGACATCAAAGCTGGAGAATCTTGGCTAGGTGGCTTTCACTTTCTGTTCTTCCATAGGCCCGAGCAAGGGGGCCATGATACCTCCACCTAAACCGATCAGACGAATCGAATCTCAGATGATACAATGTGTGAAAAACTAGAAAGAGCCAATCCAATCTAATTGAGTCCAAGAAATTAAGGCTCAATCAAGTCACGCGACTGACTTGTGTTGTTGTGACAGGTGCCCTGTAGAGTTCGGAACAGACAATTCGTGGACAGGTTGTGTGAAGCTCAATTCTCGTATTTGGTCAGCGTCGCAGCGGGTGCTACCATTCTTGAAGCTCGCAGGATACCATCAAAACGGCGGTCGGCCGCCTGCTAGCTCAAACTAAGAGGTAAGCGACGGGACTTTGGTTTGATGGTTCTTGGCGTCAACTTCTAGACTACTTCATGGATCACTTTTCGTGGCTGATCGGTCACCTAAGCAGTAAACATTTGGCGCATAATAAAGACGGCCGATCAAAGAGTGCTTTTAGTCTGACGACCTCGTTTACGCAAGGTCATGGCACAGTAAATCGTGCAGAGATATAAGCTTACCACACTGAACTCCAATACCAGAGGAGGCACAGCCTATGCAACGATGCTACACCGAGTTATCGTGCCAATGCCAACTTCATCTAGCAAGCGAGAAGGCCATAGCCATGGCGAAAGATACGATTATCAGTCATGGCATGTTTTCTGTGTTATCACTTCCCTTGATTCCAAGCTGGAGCTGACAACTATATAAACTCCAGGCACCTACCTCCTCGAGTTGATCATACACTACCCTTCACACACAGATCTCTAAACTCAGCTTTCATACAAACTCCCCACAATGGTCCAAGTCGCCCTTTCTTCAGTCACTTTGCTCTTCCTGGTGGCTCTCGCAGCTACGTCTCCTGCTCCTCTTACAAATTCTCGAGGTGTCGTCGCTGTCGGTGACTGGTCCTGGGAACATTGGGTTGAGACTATCATTGCCGACCCCGAAAGCGCTCTATCCGTCGACGAAGCCCTTGAAGCTGCGGCCAAATTCGCTGCTGCCCATGAAAGTTGGTCTTTGATCTCCTCTAATCATCTCGGCCTGGATGTCAGAGCTGGGTGTACGCATGCTAATATTATACCTGCAGATGGCTCACTTGAAGAGAGACAGGAGCAGTTTCTCGTTTGCAACGATGGCAAGCCGTCCGCATGGGTACGCAAAGCTTAGTGACTTCTACAAGACAAGAAGCCTAGACTAACACTACACAGGCACCCGATGCCGTGACGTGTATCAACTACCTTGCTGGTCTGAATGCGAACTGCGGTACTAGAACCGCGACGGCAATGTGTACCGCTGGTAATGCGCAGATTGTTGGAAGCGGCAGTGGGGCCGGAGAAGTGAGCACCAACTGGTATGTTGAACTCAATTTCTCTCAAATTCCAGAGACTCGTATGAGATGAGACTAATTCGCTTCACCTTCCAGTAACAATGTTGCTCGAACCGCTGGGCGTATCATGGATCGCTGCTGGAGATCCGACAACACCGTTCAGGGAGGCATGCCGGCTTACGAACAAGGCGCGATGTGGGTTTACGTTTCAGCTCCTCTGATCTAATTCAGAGATCGACGCGACGGATACGGAAGTGTTGTCACTCTACGGAATACGGACATAGCAGAAAACACATAACTCTTGTGACTGCAAGAACTTTTCTTGTTCAATTTAGTGCAAAATTAGTTCGGACATGTAGTTTTGATTAGCACAATTGACAGGAGCTCTAGATCATGAGATGATGAATGGAACCCATTGCTTAATACGCGGCCCTCCATTCCAAGAACCAGTTCTTCGGTTCCACCACGCCAGGTTTGCTCGAGACGTAATCCAGATACCCTTTGTAGTAGCTCAAGGGCGCAAAATCTTCTTTGAAACTTGCCTCATATATCTCGCCAGTAACATCAGTCATGGATCCATCAGATTTGCACTTGAGGATACATCTACGGTACGTCGCGATCAGGTCAGCCAACGAAATCAACAGAACTCAAGAGATTAAACTCACGCTTGCCATCTTCCCTTTCCCTTCAGTATATCTCTTATGTGGTATGTATTTCTCTCGCAGACCGCCATGCATATGATTGTTCTCGTCCAAGGGTATGTTCCTTGGGGGTTCAGACCCGCCCATGGGAAGGCCCCAGGTTTCGATCTGGCGTGGATGCTCCCTGAAGAGGTCTGGCGTGTCCTTCAATCTATCAGTACCTCTTCGGTGTTATCTCGAATCTTCCAAAAGGTGACTCACCTGAAGGCAGTCCTCGGCTTGTCTTCATCCACTTTGTTGCCCATATGCGACCTTGCGGTGGATTTTCTAGCAACGGAAGGTTCGACTCGTTCCTTGAGCGGTTCTTGAGGCTTAGGAGAGAATGGTGTCTCGTCATTTTCCAGGCGGTTAGGATCTCTAAAGTTTTTGGCAAGTAGAGTCCGGTTGATTGGTAGCATGAACTTGGAGTGACCCAATTTGGAACCAAGGGATGGCGTAAGTGTTCTAGCTTCAGCTCTGGCAGGCGCTGTCTCTCCAATAACAACTGATACGACGAGCAGCAGAAGTCCTGCTAGTTGAGAGACGTTCATCTTGAAATCTCAGGTAGTGGTCTTTTCCGGGTGCTGGTAGAGCTAGAGATGCATCACACATGTATAGAGGCTTGCATGTGGATTTCGGAGTCGGCTGTTTCCGTTTCTGAGACTGATTAAGCATGCCTATGTAGGGCCTTTGTGCAGACTTATATTGTCGAGGAACAAGCTGATGCAACTAGATTCATCAGTCCGTTTCTGGGAGTTATGCTCTACCCTTCAATCTTTTTGAGGCAAGGGCCCGATCGTGCGAATGGAAGAGACAAGGGAGAAGACTCGAACGAACACATGGGAACACAACTCCCATATACGGCGCTCTGTTCCAAAGATGTATTACACGGACCAAAGCCGCAGGGAAACGACCGTAGCACACCAACGTGCCTGGAAACTCGGCGTACCCCGAGACTCCCTTAGCCGAGGTCCAAAGCAAAGCGTAAAGAAACCAACCCGGACGGCGGGGAAGCTCCCCTTAGGTGGTCCCGACCTCATCAACTCGCCCAATCGAGGCAATGCTGAAGGAAGCCAGATGATTGTGAAGCTGTTGTCGAGTCTGGCCTTGTGTAAGTGTGTCACACAGTGGTGGATGACGACTTAACACCCCAGCCCCTTGCTATCTGTAGGTAAAGAAACTCATGCGCCCAGCGTTGATTGCTGTTGTACCATGCTGAATTTGGGGCTCGCCTAGGTTCCCTTAAAACTTGACACTAAAGCCTCTTCGGTATCACAACATGCTGACGCCTCTAAGCGGCAACCGCTTCAAGAACTTTCTACCTTCGCCGGGTCAAGATCTATTTATCACTGATATAAAAAGCAATATGGCCTGCATTGCACACAAATACTTCAGAGCGAGTATCGTTGCCTGTCTACATACTTGGTTCTCTTACTCTTGCACAATTTCGTATTCATTCACTCATTCAGTCGTTCCCTCATTGCCCATCATGAAAACCATCCAGTCTCTACTTATCGCGACCATCTTCATCTTTGCCCCAATAGTATTTGCCGAATGCTACAAGGACGGCATCATAGGCGAATACGACATCAACAACAACGCCCCCGTCGACCTGAGAATCGTGTGCGCTCAGCTATCGGGCAGCTACGTGAAGAATGAATTCCGCCGAATCTGCATCATGGATACGAACGGTAGAAAATGGGACTTTGAGCTTTCGGTAGGTGAGAGATCAAGTCGTGTTTCGTTCCTCCTGCGTCTTCATCTCATATGAATGATGGAAGAAACTCTACCTGACTCTATTTCATCACTGACGTGACGATAGCATATCGGGGATGGTGACCAACGCAACATCGAGATAGAGGAATGCTACAGCGGCATGAAGGCAGAAGCAGGCTGTGAGCGCGGCGGCCGGAGGAAGCATTGGAATTGGGAATACTCGTGAGTTTTTCTCTACCGGACTCGCACCTTCGCTGGGAAGATCAAACAGACTACTAATTGTCATAAATATCCCAGGGCGGATCCAAATGTCGGGCAATGCGTCAACATGCACCCGTACGACTTTGCAAGACCATTCGACGACCAGTAAGGAAGGAACGACGGCCGGGTGTAAGGGTATATAGGGCCCTGCAAGACCATTCCCGTCACCAGCCAGGAGGCGCCCGTCTAGGTCGACGGGTCAGGTCAAACTGGCTGGGTGGTGGAGTGGTCTATGGTCAACAATCAAATTACGCCCAAAGCCTACTCGACGACAGGCTACGAGTTCGAGTTCGATTCCCAGCATGAGCACCAAGAGATGTAGCCCCCAATTCAGCACCGGGGGGGTGAACTCTTTTTGTTTTTATTCAAGTCAATAACCAAGGTCTCACCGCTCGACACGTGACCTCATTTATGGGTGCCCCGTAGCACCATCACGAAAACCAACTCGGGCACGGGGAGCTGCCTTGACGTTTTCCTCCCTTTTCGAAAGATAAATAATCTTCATCTTGTACCTTGATGTCTTTAGCGTGACTATACGATACGTAGACGTCACTAATGAACGCAGAAAGCGACAAGATATGTAACATGCCCAGTTCCTTTCATAATCAATGGACCGATAAAACACGAATTCTAGGTCGGAATAAGGCCTGAATATCACAATTGAAATCAAATGAGCTCTCTCTCCAGTCGGATAACATTATCTCCAAGCACTCTTTGCCAACCTTTTATCGATTGCTTGCAACGGTACAGAAGACTGAAAATAAACGATTTAAACACCACGCAACGTCGTCCTCAGTTGCGAACCCCGGCCCGGCCCCTGTCCGACTTCCCCGCCGCCGTCCAACGGAGCACCGGAACAACGACTCCGCAGTAGCAGTCTGCCTCTCCCGGACCCCACTCGATTAAGCGCGGGGACGGGAGATTGGAACATTTAGTGTAATCAGGGGGGGATGAACTGCGAAAGGGAGAGATAATTGATTGCAACGTTGCCATCACACCAAGAACAAAAGCTATTGTGAGTTGCGAGGTCGTTCCATCTCTTGAACGGGAATTGCAGGCAGTATCTGGCTAGCCTGGTAGCTTCCGAGCGTGTGGCCCAAGAACCGAGTTCCACTCGCGCTGCGATGTTGGCATTTATCATTATCCTTTCGTATCCTAAATTGTTTGCAATGTTTCCATCACCTGAGGGGTAGAAACCCAACAATGCAGATCCGGCTACTACCTTCTACAATCGCACAGCTCTCATCACAAAGTTATGTCACCATGGTCCGCGCCGGGTGGTCGCGCAAGCTGGGTTCCCCTCACCAAACATCCCATCCGGCTCCGAGCCCCCGCGCGCCGAGGTCACGTCGCGTCGCGTCATACCCACGATGCTCGAATGATTAGATCGAAATGGCCATTGAATCCAAGACCTCGTCCTGCCGTACTTATAGAAGGTCCAATCCTGCAATTGGCGAGGGGAATTGCAAACCAACCCCAAGCATCGTGACCAAAAAACCATTGTTCGACCCTCATGATGCGGTTCCTCACCACCGCCCTCGTCTCCCTCGTGGCAACAGCGGCAGCAGACTTCCTCTCAGGTCTCCCAACAACGCCCTACACCCCAACAGGCGGCACCATACCCGCCTCCTCTCTCTCTAAGATCATAGTCTCGTCCGCCTACGCAGACTCCGTCGACGAGAAAGGCCAAACACTCATCCCGCCAACTCTGCATGCATTTGCTACGACCTTCGCGGCGGACCTCGTCTCGTCGCTGAAACTCGATATTCCGATTGAGCTAGGCGAAGCCCCGGAGCAAGGATCCATCTTCCTGACGCTGGCGGACGATGCAAGCCTCTACAAAGACGCTGCTGGGCGCGAGACCTCCGAGGGATACTCTCTTAATGTTACGATCGACGGTGTGCTCATCACCGGCGCAAGCCCGCTCGGCGTGTGGTGGGGTACTCGGACGGTCCTACAGCAGCTCGTCCTCGGAGATGGGGAGCTGAAGTTGGGGTACGGGAAAGATAGCCCCGGATGGGGAACCCGTGGCATGATGGTGAGAGAATCCTTCAGCCCGAGCCAGAGCATGCATCGCGGGAAACGTGAACGGCCCCCGGCCGGATGCCTAAGCGAAGAGAACCTCAAGCTAACTGCCTATGCAATATGTTAGCTCGATATCGCTAGACACTACTATCCAGCCGAATTCCTCATCGAAATGTGCGCTTACATGTCCTTCTTCAAACAAAACACTTTCCAGCTGCACCTCTCAGACAATCTCTACAACAATGTTGCCATCTACTCACGCGAGCGTATGCTTTCCCTCTATGCCGCCTTCCGGCTCAACTCCGACGACCCAGCCCTCGAGGGCCTCAATAGGCGCGCAAATGAGAGCTACACTCGCGAGGTTTTCGACGACGTCCAAGCAAAGTGCGCAGCGCGTGGCGTGACGATCCTGCCGGAGATCGAGGCTCCCGGGCACGCTCTCGTGATTTCGCAATGGAAGCCCGAGCTGGGGTTGTCGAGCGACTTGAGCTTGCTGAACATTTCAAACCCGGAGACAATACCGATGGTGAAGAAGATTTGGGAGATTTTCCTGCCATGGTTCCATACCAAGACGGTCTCGATCGGTGCCGATGAGTATGTCGACCCGACGCTGAGTGAAGAGTAAGTCAAGTCACCCCCTGAAACTGGCAGTAACAAAGCATAAGCTCATCATTCAGCGCCCTGGTTGCCGAGTACACGCGATTTGTGGACGAGATGAACGACTACATCACAAGCACATCCGGTAAGAAGGTCAGAATTTGGGGGACCTTTGCGCCCTCAGTCGGCGGAACCGTCAATAAGTCCGTTTCGATCCAGCACTGGGCCAACTTTGAGGCGAACCCGCTCTACGACTTTGTCAACAATGGGTACGAGGTGCTCAACTCGGGCGACTACATCTACACGGTTGGAAAGTGGAGCGAGTGGTATGGTGTAAGTGATCAATCCAAGTTGACGTGTGTCGATGCGATGACCGGACTGACCTGGCGAAAAGCATGAACTCAGCTTGGAATTCATCTTCAATGGCTCGCCCGATGGATCGCCATTTTCGCCAAATATTTTTGATCGCACGAATGCATCAAACAATGCCGCAAGGGACAGTGCATCGTTGCTGGGCCATATTGCGCCGCAATGGAACGATTTTGGCCCGAATGCAACGACGGTGACGGAGGGATACTACCAATGGAGGGATGGCTTGCCTGCGCTCGCGGACAAGCAGTGGGGAGGACAAGTTGCTGAGGCTGATTACCAAGGCCTTTTCTCTGCGTTGCAGCCTCTCGCGCCGGGGCAGAACCTTGATAGAAGGATCGCATCCACTGGATCGACGATCGTTGAATACGACTTCAAGCAGGGACGAGGTAGCAACGGCACGGCTGTTGAAGATTTGTCGGGCAACAATTACCATGCAACCACGACGTGCGCGATGGGCGACGAGGGTGCCATCCTGGCGTCTTCGTGTAGGATCACGACTCCGCTGACGCAAAAGGGAAGGAATTACACTCTTTCTTTCTCGATCAAGCCCACGTCCGACGCCAAGGGAGCCATCTTCAGCGGTGGAGACAGCGGATTGTGGTTTGGCAATGGGACTGTGGACGCCGTCATGCTCTTTTCAGGGGAGAGCACGTACGCGCTCAATTACACGTTCCCCGTGGGGTCGTGGACAAATGCGAGCCTCATTGGCAGGGAGAGGCAGACGTTCCTAGACGTTGGAGACGGCGAGCCCAAGGAGTTTTTGACAGTAATGGGCTGGAACGGGGCCCGGTTTGTCTGGCAGCCGATTGCGGTGGAGGCGCCGTTGGCAACAGTCGGAGGCAGTGGATTTGAGGGTGTCATCAGCGGGATGAAGCTGGTTGACCATGCCTAGAATAGCTTGATTATCGGAGAGGCTTATGTTGATATTTTCTCCAAGCCTCACCAGCTTCGGACTGTTAACCTGCTTTGGATGCTGTGGTCCTTGGAGATGGAAATTCGATGTCATGCGGAACGGGGTTGACTGAGTCGTACGTCGTGACGTGAATATTGCCCACACTTTCTGTCCACAATCTGTATCCGAACAAAGCTGGGACTCTGTCTCCGTACTCCGTAGCAACTCGCCTGGTCGTAGGGCTCAGGGCGTGCTAGCCAATGTGGACATGAAACTTGGCACCATCATCCGTACCATGTGCCAAAACATATTTAGCTAGTTTTAGTGTCTATTACATCGGTCCGGATGGTGTGTAAACGGCGTCACGGCAGCCATCCTGCGGGCATTTGACAGATTGTGCCAGAAGGTTCTTTTTTTTTTTGCAACGGTTTTTGGTTGTTTTGGGATGCAGATCTCTGTCGTTGTCTGACCCCTGGCCAAAACACCAGAGCGTCAGCGATGCAATATAGTCGATGTCACATTCGAGGCTCGATGTAGTGGCATGGCCGACCCGGGTGACCGATCGGGGTCCTTCGGGGTCTTGCGTCGTGCGTGACTGCCAGGGGCCAGAGGGTAGGATTGAGAGGTTTTGGGCGTTGAAAGCCCCGGCAACGGCAACGGGATGCTCGCCGCAGGGATGACCGACGGGCCAGGGGCTGAATCAGGGTCCAGGACGGGGTTCCTGGTTGCTGGCCGGTGGAAAGCTGCCCAACCGTTGAACAGAGCTGTAGAAGCAGGGCGTACGGTTTCGATTAATTCTTTCCCTCAGTAATAACGAGCGAGGGCTTTTCGAAATCTCCAAGGACCGGACAATGCCCACTCCCCAATCGTGCCTGGCACATTTGGCTCGCTGGCGATGCTGACACTGCTATTTGCGGGATAGGCTGAAGCGAGCGATGGTTTGGTGGCCAGGAGACGGGATGACGATGGTTTCGGCTGATGTACGATGGGATTTCACCGTCTCATTGTCTGCTGAATTGTGGAATGTGCATGATTGGGGCGACGGAAAGGGAACGGATGAGTGCGGAGGTCGTCTGGAGCAACTGGTTCAGGTTGACTCGAGATCAGGTGGTCCCGTGTTGATGGGAGGTTGCTGCTGCTGTGGGATACAGGAGACCAAAGGCCAAGATCGATTACGTGTTGGACCGTTGGTCTCGACTCTGAGATGAAAGACTAATGGGCCA